GTTGTTTATGTTTTTCTTACTCTTAGTAGGTTAAGTAATTTTGTGCTGTATTCTGGACATTTTCAATACTATTTTGTAAGGTACTGTGTCATCTTACAACCTTTTCAAGAGTATTGATTTTTGCTTGTTGGTTTGTTTGTTTTAGCAGGCAGTCAATCCAATGAGATACAGCTGATCTTTTTTTGGCTGTAGTTCCAATGTTAATTTTTTTCAAAGCTTTTGGCATGCATTTCTAATCTATGCTGTATGTTTGCCACCCTGGGACCATTTAGGATCTGGGCAGTGATATTATCAAAGAAAACCTAAGCAGGACACTAATTAAAGTGATAAGGACAGATCTTAATTAGCAATAACAATTGCAATAAAGAACAGACTTCAACAAGGTTGAATTAAACTTCTATTTGTAAACAGGTAACTGGGTATTTTAAAGGGAGAATGAGGGAGGGGGCTAAGCAGGGACTCAATAGAGTCAAGAAAGGGAAAAATTACAGAAAGCAGTAAAAAGCAGGGATGGCGATTGGTCCATGTGAAGCCCATCTAGGTTTACTAACTGGTAGTTCCTTTTGGGAGCAGAATCTAATAGGAAAACATCATTCTAGATGGGAAAGCACTTGTTTAGAAAATTACAAAACCTGAATTGTAAAGGGAAAATAGATGGATTTGACCATGTCGAAATTTAAGGTATCTCTGGAATAATATCAGAGCAACCTAAAGGAAATAATTTTTAAACATACAGTAAAAGAAACAATAAGGCAATTAAAATGGTACACTAATAGATACCTACTTAACACAAAGGAAGGCAGGGACGGAAGAATAGGAAACACACACACAGGACCTATAGAAACAGACAGCAAAGTGAAGGAAGTTCTTTCTCATTAGTAATTACATTAAATTAAAAGTAAAAGGCAGATATTGTCAGAATGGATAAAATATGTGATCCAACTGTAAGGACATGAGGCTGGTTTTAGATTCAAAGACACAAATAGGTTGAAAATAAAGGAATGGAAAAAGATACACTTTGCAAACAACAACCAAAACAAAGGTGAAGTAACTATACTAATATCAGACAAAGTAGATTTAGAGACAAAAATGGTTACCAGTGACAAATAAGGACATAATACAATGATAAAAGGGTTAATTTACCAAAGAGATAAATACATATGCACCTAACAGCAGAGCACCAAAATATATGAAGCAAAAACTAACAGAATTAAAAAGAGAAAAAAATAATTCAACAGTCATAGTTGGAGACTTTAATATTGTATTTTAACAAAAGATAGAACAACTAGACAGAAGATCAGCAAGGAAATAGAAGACTTGAAAAACACAATAAAAACCGACTACACCTAATAGACCTCTATAGAATACTCCATACAAGAGCAGAATATACATTCTTTTCAAGTACACATGGAATATTCCCCAGGATAGAAATATGTTGGAATAAATCTCAATACTTTCTTTAAAAATTGAAATAATGTATGTTATCTGACAATAATAAGATGAAATTAGAAATAAATAGTGGAAGAAAACTTGGAAATTAAACAAAAGATTGCTAAGTAACTAATGGACCAAAGAAATGTAGAAAATATTTTGAGATGAATGAAGACAAAAACACAACATACCAAAATTTATAGGATGCATCAAAAGAAGTGCCCAGAGGGAAATTTATAGCCACAAACACCTACTTTTAAAAAAAGAAAACCTTTAAATCAATAACCTAACCTTCTACCTTAGGAAACTGGAAAAGGAACAAACTAAACCCAACACAAACAAAAGAAAGAAAATAATAAAGATTAAGGCATAAATAAATAAAGGATAATTTTAAGATCAAAAAAGGTCAATAAAATGAAAAGTTGGTTCTTTGAAAGAAAGACAAAATTGACAAATCTTTAGCTAAGCTGAACAATGAAAAAGAGGGAAAGACACAAATTACTGAAATCAGGAAAGAAAGGGGGACCATTACTATCAACCTAACAGAAATAAAAAGAATTATAAAATAATATTTGGACCAACATAATGGACAATTCTATGCCAACAACAGATATCACAGATGAAAAGAACAAATTCCTAGAAAGACACAAATTACCAAGACTGACTAAAGAGCAATAGAAAAATATTAATAAACCTACATCAAAGAAGTAAAAAGATTGAATTAGCAATAAAGCAACTTCCCACAAGGAAAAATCCAAAGCCAGATTGCTTCATTGGTAAGTTCTACCAAAGTTTAAATAATAATTAACACAAACCCTTCACAAACTCTTCCAAAAAACAGAAGAGGGAACACTTTCCCACTCATTCTATGAGGTTAGTATTACCCTGATACCAAACTTAAACAAGGACATCGCAAGAAAAGGAAACTAGAGACCAATATTCCTCATGAATATACATGCAGAAATTCCCAGTAAAATACTAATAAACCAAATACAACAGCTTATAAATAGAATTATATGCCATACCAGGTGAGATTTATCCCAGGGATGCAAGATTGGTTCAACAAACAAAAAACAATTATTGGCCGGGTGCGGTGGCTTACACTTGTAATCCCAGCACCCTGGGAGACCTAGGAAGGCGAATGGTAAGGTCAGGAGTTCGAGACCAGCCTCCAACACAGTGAAACCCTGTCTCTAGTAAAAATACAAAAATTAGCTGGGCAGAGCGACAGGCATCTGTAATCTCAGCTGCTCGGGAGGCTGAGGCAGGAGAATCACTTGAACCTGGGAGTCGGAGGTTGCAGTGAGCCAAGATCATACCACTGCACTCCAGCCTGGGTGACAGAGCTGGACTCCATCTCAAAAAAACAAAAAAATAAAATAAAAACAAAAAACCCAACAATTATTGTGTCACTGTGTTAATAAAATAAAGGAAAAATATCATAAAGCATCCCAATTGCTACATTAAAAAAAAACATTGGACAAAATCTAACACACTTTTATGGTCAAAAAACAAAAACAAAAAAAGAACTGGACAAACTAGGAATAGAAAGGAACTTCCTCAACCCTCAACCTGAAAAAGGGCACCAGTGAAAAATTCACAGTGAACATTACGCTTACTGGTGAAGTACTGAAATCTTCCTCCCTAAGATCAGGAGCAAGATAAAAATGTCTGCTCACCACTTGTATTCAACATTGGACTAGAGATTCCAGCCAGAACACTTAGTGAAGAAAATTAATAAAGACATACAGATTAGGAAAGAAGAAGTAAAACTCTCTATTTGCAGATGACGTGATTCAAGTTTGCAGGATATAAGCTCAGTATACAAATAATGGTTGTATTTCTATATCAGCAATGAACAAGCCAAAAATGAAATGAAATTAAGAAAGCAATTCCATTTACAACAGCATCAAAAAGAGTACAATACTTAGGAATAAATTTTACAGAAAAAGAGCAAGATTTGTACACTGAAAACTCCAAAATATTGTTGAAAGAATTTTAAGAAGATCTAAATAAATTAAGACATCTATGTCCGTGGGTTAGAAGGCTTAATATTGCTAAAATGACAGTGCTCCCCAAATTGATCTACAGATTCAGCATAATCCTTATCAGAATTCCAGCTGGTTTCTTTTGCAGAAATTGATGAGCTGGTTCTAAAATTCATATGGAAACTCAAGGAACTCAGAATAACCAAAGCAATCTTGAAAAAGAAAAAAAAAGTGGGAGGGTTCACATTTCCTGATTTCAAAACGTACTACAAAGCTACAGTTGATCAAACCAGTGTGGTACTGGCACCAAGACAGACATATAGGTCAGTGAAACAGAATTGAGAATCTGAAAGAAACCCATGTATCCGTGGTCAATTGAGTTTTGACCAGAGTGCCAAGTCTATTCAATGGGAAACAATTGTCTTTTCAACCAATTATGCTGGAACAACGGGATATCCACATGCAAGAGAATGAATTTGAACCTAGCCTCACTCCATACACAAAACTCAACATGGATCAAAGATCTAAATGTAAGAGCTAAAGCTATAAAACTCTTAGAAGTATAAATTGGCCAAGTATGGTGGCTCACACCTATAATTCCAGCACTTTGGGAAGCTGAGGTGGGAGAATTAATTGAGCCCAGGAGTTTGAGACCAGCCCAATCAACATAGTGTACACTGAAAACTCCAAAACTTTATTGAAATGTTCCTCTAAATAAATAAATAAATATTTTCTCTAAATAAATAAATATTTAAAAAATAAAAGAACAAAAAATGAAAAAAATAGCCAGGCATGATTGTTTGTGCCTGTAGTCCCGGTTACTCAGAAGACTGAGACAGGAGGATCGCCTGAGCCCAGGGAGGTCGAGGCTGCAGTGAGCCAAAGTCGCGCCACTGTACTCCAGCCTGGACAACCGAATGACACCCTATCTCAAAAAGAAAAAAGAAAATCATTTCCTCTTAGTGTTCAAATTTGTCACCATTAATATTTTCTTGTATTTACTGTGGCTGTTTCACCTATGTCATTCCACTTTGTTCTCTTTCTTGATTACCCAGTATCTTTAGAACTTGTCAGAATAACCGAATATCTTTAAAACTTGTCAGAATACTGCCTTTTAAATTTATTTTCCACTATCCGCCTTTGTTTTCTATGTCATTAAGTTTTGATCTTTATTTGACAGCTATCTGGATTTGTCTGGTGTATTCCTAAGGCATCATGAGGCACTGAGTCAAGGTAAGACAGGAAGTGCTAAATCTCATCAGACACTGGAGAATGATGTGAGGATGCACCACCATGGTCCTCCCGGCTTTGCCATGCCTCTGATAACGAGAAAGTCTATACATAGACTTCATATGAGGAGAGCCCTGGTATGAAATGGCACTCAAGTGCTCTATTTTTCCACTCTCAGCTCTGACACATCTCTGACAGGAGGCAAGTAGACAGGTGGTACAAGTTCCCCTGGAGTTTGTTTCTGACAGAGACCCATCTGAGTTGCAGATGCCCCAATCCCTATGTCATAATGCAATTGTGAATTCAGAGCTCTCTCCTCACTCATGTTACTCATGCCAGACCTTGGGATGCAGAGAAATCAGGGCTAATGAACCATCTAGGGACAGGCCATGGGGGTTCAATTTTGTGTAAGTGACATGGCCAGATCTATAGGTGGACTAGGGGTGGGTAGGTATCCCCCTGGACTTTACAGAACTTGAGAAAAGAGAGGATGCTAAAGTAATGTCTTTGTATAGAGCCATAGAGAGAAACAACAGTCTTAACTCATTTATGTATTTCCCATTTAATTCTGATGACAGACCAAAGGCAATTTAATTTTAATTGTAATTGAAGATGTTGACGAAACCATTGAATGGAAGATATTGCAGAAGAAGAAAGAGCAGAAAACCAAGGTGAGAATTCCATGTAGTTAAGAGAAATCCAGAACATTTATATCTACATCATGAGGTGTGGGACTTTGCCTCTTATGGATCCAGAGTCTAATTAGGAGTCAACTCAATGTTAGCTAATTTTCCCTCCATCCTCTCCTCAGTCTAGGCTGTCTGGTCGGGGTCTGACTGAGATATTGAGAGTGATTGGAAAGAATGAAAGCCATCGAGAAATGCATGGGGCTGAGAGGTGAGAGTGTGAGAACCTGGAATTAGAGGGCAGAATGTTCAAAATATGGAAAGGCTTAGAGTAGAATATGTGGTCAGGGTATTTAAAACCCACCACAGTATCGAAATATATGGTTGTGGCAGAGAGAAATCAGCCAGTGGTGGTTTGGGGCTGGAATTAGCAGAGAGTAACCAGGCAGAAGGTTATGAGGCCATGCTTTCCAAAACCAGTGAACATCAAAGAGATGAGTGACTAACAAGGTCCTGCACATCGCTACTGCACCCTTCTAGTTACTAATGGTTTTTCCCTTGATCCATGCACTGCTGAGGTAGTCAGGAGAAGGACTCTGTGACTCTGAGAGTGAGGTGATGGGTCCACAGTGGCAGAGGAAGGTCACCACCAGGTCTGCTGGCTCCTGCTAACTCTCCTGAACTCTGAGGAAGGGCTGTGTGTTGAGAGAGGAAACCCAGGCTCCTTCTAGGAAGATCCTAGAAGTTGGTGGCAGGAAGTTTCCTGAGTGATCTCTCTTGTCTCTGCCTAGGAAAAACATAGAATAAGAACAAACGCAGCCATAAAGATCCAGGCCTGGTGGCGGGGCACCCTGGTGCGCAGGACACTGCTGCATGCGGCCCTCAGGGCCTGGATAATTCAGTGCTGGTGGCGGATGACGCTGTTGAGGGTGCTGGAGAAGAAACGGCAGGCAGCTCTGATCGCCTACGCAACAAGAGAGAGGGCAGTGATCAAGCTCCAGTCTTTGGTCCGCATGTGGCGCATCCACTGGCGATACTGCCAGGTGCTCAACGCCATCTATGTCATCCAGGGCCACTGGCAATGCCACAACTGCCAGACCTGTGCTCTCCTCCGGGGCCACTGTGTGGTCACAGCCACTCACCTGCAGTTTCACATTGAGATAATCAATTCCTAAGGGCTGGCAGGAAGGGCACTGTGTCTACTGTCCTTATTAAAGATCTAACCTGGTCTTATGTGTCTCACGGGGTCCCCCAGCTAATGGGAATCTTGAGACTTGAACCTTGCTGCCTCCTCTTCCTCCTGGCAAAGAATTTCAGTGAGGTTTGCCCCTGTGTCCATGGAACCTGTTTTGGGCTGGTAATGGCTTTAGGAAGCTCCAGTCTGTCCTGATGTATGACAGAGCTAGAAATTCCATTCCCGTCCCCAGCCTTATTTTGTTCTCACTGAGGGATCTGGGAGGCAATTGGGCTGCATATTCCTGGAGATTCTGGGCACTTCTGCATATATGGATGGATTATTGGGCTCTGCCCTGTCAACCTAGAATCAAGGTCAGCTGGGGTCTGGGATGCCTCAGTTTCCTTTTAGGCAAGCACCTAGATGGAAGAATAGCAATATTTGGCTGATTCTCCTGGGAGCAATGCAATGCAGCCCCAGGTGAAGAATAAGAGGCTGGCCTTAGTGGTAGTGGGACTGGGGCTAGGCATGTTAATGATTAGGTGGTGACCCTGAGGACTAGCGGAAAACAGAAGCTCACAGAAGCTCATCTCTTTCTCTACAATTCCCTCACCAGAACTCCTCTCCCCAAGGGCCATGTGACAAACAGGGCTCCCTCTGATATTACCTCCACCCTTACTCTTATCTCAATTATTGGTGATTTTATCATTGGTCAAGATGATCCTACAATCTCCTCCGTTCTAACCTCAAATAAACCTTTTCTGCTCTCCTCCTCAGCTATTCACTCCCACAGTCATACCAAAACAGTGCTGTTCTATAGAACTTCTGTGATGATGGCAATCTTCTCTATGCTGTCCAACATAGTAGCCACTAGCCACCTATGGGTGTGGTGCACCTGAAATGTGCCTAGTACAACTGAGGAATTGAACTTTTGATTTTATTTAATTTAAATTTAAATAGTCATTGGACAATGAGGCTGTAGACCTCATCATCACCAATAATTGTAATATTATTCAAATTGTTTTTCTAGTTTTCCATTCTTTGATTACTTTCTTCTTTCCTTTCAGTTCACCTTTTCAATAACCCCAATAGAATATTTCTTTAGATGTGATAAGGTTTTCCAGTTTATTGACCCTATTAATTTTTTTACGGCCACCACCCTTGACATGCTCTCGCACGTTTCTTTACTTAGTGCAGATTCTGTGGTTAATTACGATCATCTCTCCCCGGCACTACCTGACTCCCTTGGCCCACTCTTTTTCTGCAAACATGTATGAGATGAAGCCAACCATCTCCCTATCCTGTGCCTACACAATAAGGGAGCATGGCTGGGACGAAACCAACAACCATGAGGCATGGACTTAATTTATATTTCCGACCACATATCTCAACTGGACTGATTTCCCAATAAATTTCTCTAGGATATTTGCATTTATATTTTCTGAGTTGAATAATTTACACCACCTCCTCTCCAAATGTTATTTAGGTTGGAATAATTTGTGTCAGAAATGAAACCTGAAAAAGAACACTATTGGAAGGGATTGACGATTCTTGGCACTGGTTGACAGGACCCACTTGAGCCCTTTGAGCTCTTTGCTTCCAAGGCTCACCTTTTCTGCCCTGCTGAGTCTTCCCTCAGGCTGATCCTCCCTATTTTTTGTACTATTTGATATTACTTGGGATCTGGTCTGGATCATGCAACCTTAATAAAGGACCATACATCTCTCCCTGGATGACAAAAAGACTTTTTGTCTTTTCTGGTAAGTGCTTTCTTATACAAAGATGTGTGTCTTTCTGAATTGAGTTCTCTTGTTTTCTACAAGGTGAGCCTTGGAAGGAGAGAGCTCAAAGGGCTCAAGTGGGTCCTGCAGACCAGTTCTAAGAATCATCAATCCCTTCCAATAGTGTTCTTTTTCAGGTTTCATTTCTGACACGATTATTCCAACCTAAATAACAAACTTTTGGAGAGGAGGTAGTGTAAATTAGTATTTCTACAAGAGAACTCAATCTGTGAGGCATGTCTTTTTTGGTTTGTGGAATTCATTTAATACATTGATCAGCATTCGTAGGATACGATTTTTGTGAACACTCTTATACTGGTTCTTTTTGATTTGGTTTGACTCTTTTCTTGTTTCTGAAGATCTTCTAAAAGCAAAAACAAACATTCTGGATGGTGGGTGCAGGACTGCTAATTAAAAGCCACTAGGGAAGTCACCACCATCTGAAACACCAGCCTAAACTCCTGATGTTCCCCAACAGGATTTATAGAATTTTCTTTGCTCTTGAGAGATTAATAAGAAACAGAATGGAATTCTCAAACATTAAGGTGTACCAGGTTTTCTGGGACTCCAGCTGTCTGCATATTACAGCCCACTCTTGAAAACATTTTAAAATTGATGAGCAAAATTATTTATTTCTATTTTTATTTTTTATTTTTGAGACAGTTTCATTCTGTCACCCAGGCTGGAGTGCTGTGGCACCATCTCAGCTCACTGCAACCTCCACATCCTGGGATCAAGTGATCCTCCCACTTCAGCCTCCCAAGTAGCTGAGATACAGGCATGTGCCACTGTACCCAGCTAATTTTTGTATTTTGGTAGAGATGGGGTTTCACTATGTTGGCCAGGCTGCTCTCGAACTCCTGGCCTCAAGTGAGTGATCCTCTCATTGCAGCCTTCTAAAGTGCTGGGATTACAGGCATGAGCCACCACACCCAACCCCTGATGAGCAAAATTAAATCAAGAAAAATTCGGAACTGAAATAATCAATATTCTAAAAACCTGCAATTGTAAAATTAACATGTAGAGTCTTCTAAGTTCTCTGCGTGTTTTTACTGCCAACTTTCAACCTGCTGACTTTTCTACTGGTGTTGTGATAAAACTCACTCCTTATGGCATTCTGGCCAAGATTTTTTTTTAAGCCTTAAAGGGCTTTCAAATTAATGGCTTTGCAAATTATAACAGCTTCATAGTAACCAACAAGTTAGACACATTTTAGAACTATAAATTTAGGGCCAGGTGTAGTGGCTCACGCCTGTAATCCCAGCACTTTGGGAGGTCAAGGTGGGCAGATCACCTGAGGTCAAGAGTTCAAGATCAGCCTGGCCAACATGGTGAAACCCTATCTCTCCTAAAAATACAAAAATTAGCTGGGCGTAATAGCAGGTACCTGTAATCCCAGCTACTCAGGAGACTGAGACAGAAGAATTACTTGAATCCAAGAAGTGGAGGTTGCAGTGAGCCAAAATCACACTACTGCACTCCAGACTGGACAACAGAGCAAAACTCCATCTCAAAAAAAAAACAACAAAAAACAAAGAACTATAAATTTAGATTTGCCTGACTAATAATTGCAAATGATAATGGAATGCTTAATTGAAAAAGTAGTAATCCAAAGGAAAATGAACTAGATAAATGTTTATAAAAGTTAGGCTCTCAGCCGGTCACAGTGGCTTATACCTGTAATCCCAGCACTATGGGAGGTCAAGGCGGGCAGCTCATGAGGTCAAGAGATCGAGACCATTCTGGCCAACATGGTGAAACCCCATCTCTACTGAAAAAACACAAAAATTAGCTGGGCATGGTGGCGCGTGCCTATAGTCCCAGCTACTCGGGAGGCTGAGGTAGGAGAATTGCTTGAACCCAGGAGGCGGAGGTTGCAGTGAGCCGAGATCGCACCACTGCACTCCAGCCTGGCGCCTGGTGACAGAGCAAGACTGTCTCAAAAAAAAAAAAAAAAAAAAAAAGTTAGGGTCTCACATCAAACAGGTCAAAATCTTGAGTTCACAGCCATGCTATAAGGCATCTCTGTCCAGCATAAAAATTTTACTTTTTCTGCCACACAGAGGCCAATGAGAAAATGCTGGAAAAAATTTGCTAAAACTTTTCCCCTCCTGCATATGCTAATCAAGCAACCAGACCAGAAACCAAAAGATAGATTTGTTACTAGTTCAAGATTACTTGGAGATTTTGTTTTTCTTATACAATTCAGCCATGGTTTTTTTTTCCATGTTTCAAAAATGTAAACATAGAAAATTTAACCCTAAACTTTAAAATTTAAAAAGGGCAAAAAGGGGGTGGGGGTGAAAGAAGCTTTTAAAAATCAAACTGCCATGGAAACTGCTTTCTCCAAAATTTTGGTTCACAGGCTTCATTAGAATACCTATAGGGAAAACAAAGTTAAGCCATATGAATAGGTTCCTATTTTGTCTGAAATATAATTTAGATTCAACTGTCTTTTATAAACCAGTGAGCCTGTGTTACTGTCTCATGAAAAAAATTCTAAAATGAAAGCTGTATGATCTCTCTCTCTCTTTCTTTCTGTGTGTGTGTGTGTGTGTGTGTGTGTGTGTGTGTGTGTGTGTTTGGATGTGTTTATGTAAGTATACATGTATTATATGTTTTGTTTGCATGGTAAAATCTGACATAGCCAGAAATCTCTTAAATTTTTTTATGTAGATTGACTTAGATAAACAAAGGTATATTAACCCACATGTTTTTTAGTTCATGTGACTTAAGTAAATATTTAATAAATATGCTAATTTTAAAATTATGTGTAAAATTTTAAAATGTGTTCAAAATTGTCAGTATACATGTTTGCCTGGGTTTACTAATCAGACAGCTTTATATTTGTCCCTAAAGATGTTTAAGGTGTCAGAGTTTGACACAAAAATTACAGAGCTATAAACCCAACCTAAAACAGAATTATCTTTGTTTGTGCAATTTTTATAAATAAAACCAATTTAATATTGTTGGTTTAGTGCAAATAGCTGTATCTTCTGAGTTATCTGCAAAATACCCATATATTTAAGGTTCCTACTTAGGTCAACACTTGATATTCACAGGCTGTAAAAATGGTTATCAAGAAAATAACTTGAAATAATGATTAGTTTGTCTAAGATTCCATCTCTTGTAAGTATTGTAGGTAAGCACTAAAAATAAATAAATAAGTCAAATATAAGCTAGAAAATGCATATAAATTAACTTTTTAATGTAATTTGACATCTTAAACTTATGTTAAATTAAATAATATATACCCACTAAATGTCTGGGTTACTTTCAAATAAGACTAAAAAATAATAAAACAAATTGCTGAACAGAAATATGAGTTTGTTCTTGGCTTCTTAAACTTTATAGAAAGCCTAATATATTTTAGTCTCTTAACATACAGTTTTAAACTATGGGGAAACATGTTTCTAAAAATTATAAAATGGCTCTCATTTATAAAATACTGATATGTAACAGACAATTCAAGGTTTCCTGTTTCCAAGGTTTTCACCACAATTTAAGTTTATTAAGAGTTAAAAATTCTAATTAATATATAATCAGCATACAAAATGTGCCAAAAATGTAAGATGTGTTTTTGATGAGAAAAATATATATTCTACTCTCTATTGAGTTCAATTTTTTAATATATATTTACCACCCACATATGAGTGAGA